ACGTACAGCAGAGGGTAGGTCCTGAGTGTAGGTATTTTCAGGAGCAGGAAGGGCTTCTGGGAGCCCAGCTGCTGTGGGGAGGAGCAGATAGAAGGGGAGGGAGGGGTGGGGAGGTCAGAGATACACAGAGGCAGGGAAGGTGGGTGGGGGGCGCCCGGGGCCCCACCTGGTCACTCCTGACCCTGTGCTTCGAGTTGCTAACTTTGCAAACTCGTCTCTAAGAGTTGACTCGGCTCCGCGGATCACGCCCAGCTAAGTTTCCAGAAATACGAGCTCATTTTTTCAGTATTGGTACAACAAAGTCATCGGTACGGAGCAGCACACAGCCTCTACTGATATGAACCATGGGCCCAGAGTAAGCACAGGAGACCACCGCCCCTTCAGCCTCCCAGGACGTCCCATCTCCCAGCCTCAGGGAGCACTGGCAGGCCCCCGTTTTTGAAACCAGGGCCGGGACCTCCCTCCTGCCTCCCTTCTTTCCCTCCTGAACTCCCACCCCCGCCCTGCTCTCCCTTCTCGTCCAGGTTTTCCAGGCTCCACACCCTGAAAACTACAAAGAAAAGGATTTTTTACTTTAAGGCTAATAACTCCTCCCCCACCCCCAGGTGTTAAAAGCCACTCTCCCCGGCATTTGGAGAGCTGGGCTCTCCCAGGAGGGAGGCGGTGGAGGGCTGAGGTCCCCAGAGCGAGCGCCCCAGGGGGTGCAGTGCCTTGTGGAGGCCTGGGTGCTGGCTCCCCCCTTTGCTTGTTAGCTCCAGACCTGCAGGAGCAATGGCTGTCCTGGGTGCAGGTTCCTTCCTCTGTAATCGACAGTGTGGGGCTGACCTTCAAGGCCCTTCCCTCCCAAGCTCACTGCCTCTTGGCACCCTGAGGAATCTGGGAGAAACTAGGCCCAGGGTCTCACTAGAGCCCGGGTGGTAAAAACGAGATGATGTGTTAATGTGCATCTGTGTCTCCCTGTGTTGAGGTGAGGGACCTGCCGCGGGTCCACGGAGAAGCCCTAGGTTCTGAGGGACGCGCTGCTGAAGCAGCTGCCCGCAGACGCTCCTGCCAGCAACACGGGGAAGCGTGCGGCCATCGTGGGGGCCGGCGTCAGCAGCCTGGCCTCCGTCCGCAGCTGCCTGGAGGAGGGGCTGCAGCCCACCTGCTTCGAGCGGGACGACGATGTGGGCGGCCTGTGGAGGTCCTCGGTGAGTGGCCGTCCCTGGGGACAGCAGGAGGGAGACCGTTCCACGGCAAAGCAGGCCTGATGGGTCCCAGCTCAGTGGGCAGGTGGTGAAGCAGGGATCTGGGAAGCGAAGTCCTCTCCCTCCCATAACACAGATTCCAGTCATGCAAACCGGTTCACTTTCTGGAATCCTGGAAGGACTTCTGCTCTCTAAACCTGGTCACCTGCGACAGCCCAGGTGGCCAGGCTGCAGCGGGTGTGGATGTCATAATCAGCCCTAAATGCACCACTGCCTCCCTCTGTGTCCAAGAGGGTTCTATCCGTATCACCCCTACACCCTGGGAGCTTGGGGGGCAAAGGAAAACTGAGCCTGGGGTCAGTCATGGTTTCAGCTCCTCGATTTTCTGGGCAAGTCACTTTTCTCTTTCCAGACCTCAAATGTTCACTTATCAAATGCAAAGGCTGCAAATTAGGTTGCCTCTCAGCTGCCTTCCAATTCTCATGGGATAGGATCTTGTAATTAAGTCCTATTAACTGG